TTTTTTTTTTTTTTTGCATTTATAGGCTGCACAAGATGGAGTGGATATCATAAGCTTATCGATAACTCCAAACAGGCGTCCACCTGGCATCGCCACATTCTTCAATCCTATAGACATGGCATTACTATCTGCAGTAAAAGCTAGGATCTTTGTGGTCCAAGCAGCAGGAAATACTGGGCCATCTCCTCGAAGCATGTCATCTTTCAGCCCGTGGATCTACACTGTTGGGGCTGCAACCCACGATAGGGTCTACAGTAACTCTATAGTCCTTGGAAATAACATTGCAGTTCCTGGAGTTGGACTTGCTCGTAAGCGCAAAAGTCTTTTCTTGTTGGTAAAAATCTGTGATGTTTGTTTGTTAAATACGCATATAAAAAATCTAGAAAGTACTGCAGTCAGAGTGTTCAGTGCTTTCGTTTATGTTTTAGGGTCAATTTTAAAGGCTACCTGTGTAGTTTAGCTTACTTTGCTTGGGGGAAAAAGGAATCTGGTTCCATTTTGCAAATTATAAGAATTGCACGCTCAAAAGGCAGTTTATTAGTCTGTGGAATACTATAAGAATTCCTCTTTTTTTTTTTTTTTCCAGCTGGGACACAAAATGATACTATGTACACTCTGATATCTGCTATACATGCTCTAAACAACAGCACGGCTGAGGATGATATGTATGTTAGTGAGTGCCAAGACTCGGGTAATTTTAATGAGGACGTGATTCAAGGGAATCTCTTGATATGTAGCTACTCTGTCCGGTTTGTACTTGGGCTCTCCACCATCAAACGGGCTTTAGAAACTGCGAAGAATCTCAGTGCAGCTGGTGTGGTTTTTTGCATGGATCCTTACGTGATCGGTTTTCAGCTCAACCCAATTCCAATGACTATCCCGGGCATTATAATCCCATCCCAAAATGATTCCAAGGTGAATATATTCTTCATTTACGAATTTCAGCTTGGAATTCGAAAAAGAAAAATTCTTTAAGTAGATTTTTTGTACTGCTTCTAGAGTTTGATTAGTAAACAAATAAAACACGTCTATTATTTGCTGTCATGGGAACCCACCTTTTCTTTTTTATATTGTTGATCTGTGAGTTCTTATGCAAACATTTTGATTTTTTCAAGTAGTTTTTTAGTTCTACAAATTCAAGAATCCACTGCAAGCTAGAATTTTTTTCGCAAAAAACCGAATCATATCTTTTGATGTGTTTTTCTCAGGTCTTACTCCAGTACTACAATTCGACTCTTGAAAGGGATAATAACTCCACGAAAAAAATCGTCAAATTCGGGGGAGTCGCGAGTATCACTGGCGGAATAAAAGCAAATTTCAGCAGTTCGGCCCCAAAAGTTATGTATTACTCTGCAAGAGGACCCGATCCAGAAGACAGCTCGCTCGACGATGCCGATATACTAAAACCGAATATTGTTGCTCCAGGTAACTTCATATGGGCTGCATGGAGTTCTCGTGGGACCGATTCCATTGAATTTCAAGGTATATTATATCTTCTTATGTATATTGTAATCAAACCTCAATTTGTGCTTTGAAAGGGAAAATACATTTACATTAGCATTTTATTCTGTGAATTTGTTTAGGTGAGAGCTTTGCACTTATGTCTGGAACAAGCATGGCAGCTCCTCATATTGCCGGGCTCGCGGCCTTAATCAAGCAGAGATATCCTTCGTTCGGTCCATCAACTATTGGGTCGGCACTTTCAACGACAGCTTCTCTTTACGACCGAAATGGTGGGCCCATCATGGCCCAACGTGCTTATGCTAATCCGGATTTGAACCAATCTCCCGCCACTCCCTTTGACATGGGGAGTGGATTTGTAAATGCTACTGGGGCAATAGATCCTGGTCTCGTATTCAATTCGAGTAAGTCACCGTAAACTTATTTATTCTGTTTCTGTTTTTTAAGTTCTTTGTGAACAGCAATAAAAAAAAAAAAACGTCACTTGATAAAGAAATTCGCAAAACCGTCACCTTTTCAAAGACAAAGGTAGCATTTCTGCAAATTTTCCTCCAAAAAATGCAATCTTTATCTTTCACATACACGGAAACACCCCCCTCAAGAATTTACAAAGTCATGCTACAAAGGATATTTATATATATAAAGAAGTTAAAATTATATGTTCTTGTGCTGTTTGCAGGTTACGATGATTACATGTCCTTTTTATGTGGCATAAACGGCTCGTTTCCAGTCGTGCTGAATTACACAGGCCAAAGCTGTGGTACTTACAGTTACACCATGAAAGCTGTTGACCTAAACTTGCCCTCCATCACCATATCTAAGCTCAACCAGTCGATTTTCGTTCAACGGACGGTGACTAATGTGGATAAAAACGAGACCTACACTGTTGGGTGGAGTGCCCCTTATGGAGTCTCGGTTAAGGTGAGCCCGGCTCGTTTTTCCATTGCGAGTGGTCAGAATCAGGTGCTGAATATATCGATTAATGCAACTATCAACAGCTCATTCCCGAGCTTTGGGAGAATCGGGCTTTTTGGGAACGGGGGGCATTTGGTCAATGTTCCCCTGTCGGTTATTGTCAAGATCTCGTACAATTCTACTGGTGGCTGATTTTTCTGTGGGTATTAGGTAATAATAGCTCTGATTTTCGGTGTATTTTATGCGTAATGTGCCTGATTTTTTGATTGATCGGTTGTAAATTCTTTTGAAAGCCGGTGAGCAGTTGCTTGGTCACACTTCATATTCGATAGATTTGGCTTTGGTGTAGTTTCAGCTTTAGAGTTAACTGTAGTTGGGTGATGACAATTATGGGCTCCACTGTTGTTATAGTTCAAGCTTTTCTTTCTTTGATCTTTAAAGATTGAGCCTAATTGCAATAACACCGAAAATTTTGTTCCAATTGTGGATTTTTATCATCGGATCAACACATACACATGTTTATGTATCTGTGTTCTAATGGTTAAAGGTCCGGTTAGAACAGTAGAATCGAACTTCTCGAGCCACCAGTTATTTATGATTACAGAATATTTTTAGCCTCTAACAAGCTTTCATGAACTATATTATCAACTGTAGAAAAAAAAAATAGAAAAACTAAATTTAAAAAAAAAAAAAAAAAATTATATATCCAACCACACAGGATATGTCAACTGGTAAATTTGGTACAATACAAAACATCAGTTCTTAAAATTGAAGCAGTATCACCAAATTTCCATGTAGCCAATTTTGTTCAGAAAAAAGAGAAAAAAAAAAAAAAAAGTGTCCGCAAATATTCACACAGTAAGTAAAATGTGTATTATATCATCACAAGCATAAAATCTTCACACAGAAGTAAAAAGTGTATTATATCATCACAAGCACATAGATTTTAGTAGGAGATTATGTAAGATCATCTTCATCAAACGGATCCTCTTGTGCTTCTGCTGCACCCCTCTTAAATGCAGTTACATCCCCAGTCGGCAATTTCCTCGCGAGCTTTATGATCTGCGTTAAATATTCGTTGAGTGATTTGTTTGTTCAGTTTCGACGATGCCACGTAGATGAAGAAAAAATACGAGGTATGATAAAACAAATACTCCCTAAGTTTACATACAAATGTCATTCCAGAAATGCGAATGCACAATTCATGTCTTAGCCTTAACATTACTCCATCAAATATATTATCCTAATAATCTCTTTCTTTCTATATTTTAATCATTTTTTTTTATATCTTATGCTTTAATTGTTCTCTTCCATAAGTTAAGGTTTCTTATAACATTACATAATTTGAAGAATAGTCACGACAATACTTATTTGGAAACAAAGGGAGCATGGGAGCATGCTTTTGTCATCGAACGTTCTTGGCTTTAACTGAAGCTAAAACGAATAAAAAGTTAAAGTGATTTACCACATGGTCAAGATTGGAAATAATACTCGATTGAGCCACACGCTTGATTTCCTCAGCATCACCATCAGTGTATGCAGAGAGTAGCTTAGTCGCAGCACGATTTTGATCACTGTTGAAGAAAGCCTCAACCCTGACAAAGTAGCCCATTACAAAGAATAAGCGGACATCATTTAGTTAAATACGCATGGCAAAGAAAATAAATTACACCACGTCGTAAAACTTAGAAAAATGTAAATATAGTCATTGCATGCACATTCTAACACCAAGCACAGAGCAAGAAAAAAAATAAATAAATAAAACAACTCACTGGCAACAATCGTTGTGACATTTCTCTGCTTGCTGGAAATCATGTGCATAGAGATACACAATAATTGCACTGAGATAAGCCTACATCCAAAGAAGATTACATCAGTAACTTTGTCATAAAATATGTAATTCAGAATGAGTGTTTGGCATCGAAGGAACTCGACTAATATCCAAATATCTCGAGACATCAAGGCACTACAGAGCCATTAATGAGCAATTTGATGCATACTCTGGGTTAATTTTGAGATTCTGACAGTGGTAAACATTCAAATTATCAAATGAGAAATGTACATTATTTACAGTAAAAAAGCAAGGTATTATCAAATGAGAAATGCGTTTTGGACCACCAAAACACATGGAATTTTTACAGTAAAAAAGCAAGGTATACTAACTAAGAAGCTATGTTACAGAGGGATATTTCTGCACCTTGCACTGGCTGTGCGTAGCATTGCACTTGTCAGCAGCCACTGCCCATTTTAAAAGAAAAGTTGCAGCATCTGTGTACCTATAAGATGTGAACATATTATTTCTGCTGAAAACAATAGCAGTCTCATTTCTCCATAAACAGGTGACTAAACTCGACATGGATAACAAGTATAACATTGATATGTGCTGGTCAGCAGGGTCACTAGGTCACCTGAGGTTCTACTAGATATTAATTAGCCATAAGATTGTATTTCAGATGTATAAGATTGTATCTCACAAGAACCGGTCTTCATGGAAGGACCGTAGCAAATGATGATAAATACACATTTGAAAATGTAAGTGACAAGTTATATGTTACTTTAAAAAATACAGATGCATAACCTAGTTGAATAAACATAAGAATTTCACTAGTACCTACAAATGAAAGTCTTTTCAATAAAATTTCAATGTTCCATTACTTGCACTGATACCCAATAGAAATAAGTGATTTTCCATGGGCCTCGGAGTCGGGTTTACTCTGATATTCATATTCTGATATCATATAATATTACAGCAACACAACATACTGCATACTTGAACCAACAATTTTTATAGTATACAGTTCCGAAAAATTCGACCACAGAAAGAGTCATAGTTTCTCAAGTCAGTTTTATTATTTCTACCCTTAATTAGGATTTCAGAAAAGGAGCATAAACTTACTTCTCAAGCTTCACATAAACGCTCACAACAGCACGATACAGATCAAAGGTCATCTGCTCCTTCCCATCCTCTTCAAGAATATCACAAGCAGCAATGTAAAGCTGGATAGCTTCGTCAGGGGACTTATCTTCTAAAACACTTTCAAGAGAAAAACACCAGTACTTCTATAAGACCACCAAACGCACAGAGCTACTAGTAAGAATGAAGATAACACAACAAAAAGGTTTAACACATTATATACTCGTTCTTTTTTGAAAGAACATAATAAATCAGCCATATCTTTACATTCTACAAATCACAATAATATCAGCAAATCTTTCACCACCCATAAACAATAAACACGGTCACAGACTAATTACTAATTACTGTAAATCATCTCAACAATATGCAAATACGTAATTATTACCGAGCACCCTTTGCAAGAGCATCCGATGCAGGCTGGGCCCTTCCGGCCTCAACGTACAACTCGGATGCACGTCTATAGAAATCGGCTACTTCATTCCATTTGCATACTTCCTTTGCCATAGCTCCTGCAGACTCCATGTGTTTTGCAGCATCCCAAGGCCTGATTCACCCGACCAAGTTCACATCAATCGTTAGTTTTTAAGCAGGCAAATGTCCTTAAGCAATAAACAAACTGAAGTAAAATAAAATGCATACGAAGATTGCATCTCTTGTCCTTTGGAAGCCTTCTCGAATGCTTCCTTTGCTTTATCATAGTTTCTCGCAAGCCTATATGCATTTGCTTTACACAAAACCAGATTTCATCAGTAGTTTCTTAAGAGAACACTTCAAATGAATTTCTTATTCATCCCGCCATTGAAGAGGGAGAAAGAAAGCATATAACCATACCCGCCTGCTCGTACAGAACAGTGGCGTTCCTCCAATCAGCATTCCATCTCGTCAAGCTGAGCTTCGTCCTGCGATATAAAATCATTATACAGACATAGATTCACGTATTATTTCCGATGAGCCTGAGATGAAATATCGGGGGACAAATGAACAGAAAAGAAAGTGAAAGGCACATCTCACATTTTATCAGCTTTAGCGACCAATTTCTCCGGATCGGAAGATGCCATCGTCGATCCAGATTGTGGAATCACCGGTCGGATTTCCTGACTGCTGCTGTTTTATTTTCCCTTTCAGAATTTAGGTTGTGTACCACGAAATCGTTTCCGGTTTTCTCCAATTCCAACCAAAGTCGCTTCTATTAGAACGATGTTTTCTCCTTCCTTGTCTTTTTCAGCATTTGTACATGATTAATATATATATTTTTAAATATATTTAATTTTTATTTTTATATATCTACATTTTCTTATCTCCCTTATACATATAAGAAAAAGTATGAGGGGTTAGAATCTTGACACGTGTCATTTTTTGGTCTGTACTAAATGCCCTTCGTTTTGTAACATTTTACGAAACTACCACTAGCTTTTTTAATATCGAATTGGGGGTTGAGGCTGTTGTAG